TACGAACTTAATTGGTTCCGGAAGATGGTCGTAACTTGAAAAGGTCGTAAGTTGAGACAGCGTTTACCATTGGAATGCATTGAAATGCAATTAAATCATTCCGGCTGAAGGAAAAAAATACCCCCAAAAAATCTCTGCAAAACCCATTGGAAACGTGGTTAATCCCTTCTGGCCGAAGGGGGGGAGAAGCAATCAAGCATGCAAGACCCATCGGAAATGCAAAGAAAACAAAGGAAAAAGCAAGGGAAGCATGCAAGACCCATCGGAAATAGGGGAAAGCCCAAAAAGCAACCAAACCCCCCAAGACCCATCGGAAATGGGGGGAACAAAAACAAACAAACCCCCCAAGACCCATAGGAAATGGGGAAAAACACTCCAAAAAACAACCAAACCCCCCAAGACCCATTGGACATGGGGGAAAACCCCCCAAAAAACAAACAACCCCCCAAACCCATCACAGCACACAAACATAACCCCCCAAGCCCAAAACCACGCTGCAAAAACACCCAGAACCATTTTTAAAAAGCAGAAAACCGCACCTTACCTTACCAGGCAGCCTGAAGCCTCCCTGGAAACACACACACACACACACTCAGAAGCCTTCGACGACAACCCACTCTCTCTAATTGCTGGGGTGAAAGAGCTACAAAGAAGCAGCCTTGTCGACACCTACAGTTAGAAATTTTAATTTTCCCCCTGCCTTTTTCTGTTCATAACTCGAAACTCCAGTCGCAAGTAGAAGCAAAATTTTGCAGCCGGAGCTGGTTGTAACTCAAAATAGTCATAAGTAGGGATGTTCGCAAGTCAAGGCACCACTGTACAAAAAAGATGAGTGATCTGTTTTCAATCAAAATAAGAATGTTCCTACAAAGCAGCTCATCATCAACAAGCCATTACACCATTGAAGAAGAAATTTACAGTAAGGGATTAGGGTATTATGCAGTGAGTTTCCATGGCCAAGTGGATATGCAAATCATGGTCTCTAGAGGTCTAGTTTATCTACTGCACCACACTAGGTACCCCTAAGTACATTACACTGGCTGAAATCCTGCTGCAGTTACACAAATGGTGTAACTTTTGGAAGGAAACTGCCATAGATTAAGGAACCTCAGTAGACATTATTTGCTACATATCAATGTTTACGGAGATTTCTTAACTTTGGTAAATTCACATCTAAAAGCCATTTGTGTAACTGCGCAACAGGATTTTGTCTACTATGTCTATACATGCTTGAGAAATAACATTGCTCCTTTCATATTCAAGCTACCATTGTATATTCACTGTTTATAGCTTTAAATATTGTCCTTTAATGATGTAAGATAAGCTGCCTTGGGTCCTTTTTAAGGAGAAGGGCGGGGTAAAATAGTTTTAATAAATAAATATATAAATAAATAAACAGGTGTAACTTTAACCTGCTTTTATAGGAACAGAGGTATGGCCTCACAAAATGGTGGAGGAACTTCAAATGGTTCCAGAGCTGAAGTAACAACAAAGTGAATAGGTGTGGTCTGTATCACAGTAGTTTATAGCATTCAGGTTTCTGTTCTCTAGGTAACTAAGAATTCCAGTTACTTTTGAGACATGGGATAGCGAACTTGCTGCTTTTAAGAACTCCTATAATAACATAATTTGACCCAACTCCGGGAGGCGGTGGGAGACAGGAGAGCCTGGCGTGCTCAGAGTCGGACACGACGAAACGACTTAACGACGAAACAACAAACAACAACATAATAACATAACAAATTACTTTTTATTCCTTGGAAATATTGCAGATGAATCACTTTGTAACTTTCTAAATATAACTTTTACAGCTTTGGTTTAAGTGTACATAACTGGCTGAAGGCTGGCTCTCATAAGCAGCCACTACACCAAACCCCCAAATTAACCCACACATTTCCAATCAGTGTGAACAAACTTGAATACATGAACTAGCAAAGGGAAAATAGGAAGTGCAAATGACTCCTGCTTCCTGTTTCACACTCTGCTTCACATGGGCTGGAGCATCTTTTGTGTGAATGGACAGATACACATGCTTCCAAGGTGAGTACATTCCGCAGTGAAGAAGATGTAAGAGCACAGAAAAGAGATAAATTATAATTAGATTAATATTTCTCTTCTTCCCCTCACTTTGATCTATACTCAGTGACTCAACAGCAAGCAAGCAAGAAGTTGCCTAGTCACCCCTACAAAAATTCAGAAACGTCTCTAAGCAATCCAGTGAAGAGAGTTTTGTAAACTAAGAAAGTTGTCCGGGTTCTTTTCCTTTTCTGGCTATTAATATGCTACAAATGACTAATGCACATTATTAGGCAGAGATGTCATGACTCAATGACATGGCAAACATGGCCACTGACTATTCAGAGGACAATTCTGGAACCTGGCACCTTTGTTTGTTTGCTATGTTTGTTGTCTATGGTCAAGCCATCAAGTCACTTCTGATTTACAAAGATCCTTTAATGGGTTTCAAAGGTATAGAATAGTCAGAAGTAGTTAACCATTCCCTTCTTCCGGGGGTACCCTGGGACTGCATGGGTAGCTTGCCCAAGACTCCACAGGTTGGCTCTATTCCTGGAAGGCACAGTGGTGGACTGAAATTCCAATGCCTGGGTCCACAGCCAGGTACCCAACTCACTAAGCTACCCAGCTAGCCCCACAAAATAACTCTTCTCATCTCTTTTAATGGCTCATAGACATTTTTAAGTGACTGCTTTTCAAAGCTGGCTTTATAAAATATACCAAATGTTTAAAACAAGTCAAAACATAGGACATCGTGCAGGGAATGAGGAGGTGTGATGGCAAATTATGGCACTGGTACCAAACTGGAACAGAAGGAAATGTCATTTCTGTAGCCAAAACCAGCAGGGATTCTTCCCCCGCCTCAGCACAAATTTCTACATCTTCTGGTATACAGTATACCACTAACCAGTAGAAAGAGAAAAACAGAATTTCAGGTTATTAGGTGGGACCCAGCAGCTGATGCCAACAAGCCAATACTGAGCTGTAGTAATACTGTACTCTTCCAGGAACACTGAAATATCATACCATTAGAGAACATAATTTCCAGACTATTGAGAAGATATTTGTCCAAGTAAATAAATCCTGTCCTTCAGCAGCTCAAAACAGCAGTACTAAAACAGGATGCAATCCTCTGATGCCAAGAAAAGTTAAACAAATTCTATGGAACTGGACAATGATGATAACTACCTTGGAGGAAAGATTGACTATTGGTACTTATAGTTGCCGAATTCTCCCTTGTTGGCCTGAGAATCTTTCCCTGACCTTGGCAAGAAATTACAACACACAGGCACAAAAAGCCCCAAATTAGCATAAATTCGCTGTCAAGGTGAATGGCATCTAGTTGTAAACTTCCAGTTGGTGATGACCATGATTTGCTGCTTTTTAAAGAAAACCTACTATCTGTTGCAGCTCTCAGCATGCTATCTCAGAAGCAAGGTCCAATGAAATCTGTGACAACTGCTCTGATGGGAAAAGTTGTGTTTGTGCACAGCAAATGCCAAAATACCCCCGTCAGTGTGGCCACTGAAAGTTGATGTCAAAAAGGAAGAGGGGCACTTTTCCCATCTCAGCATGTCACTCAAGCTGTTAGTGTGGAGAAACGGCCAATAGGAGAGCCAGGATACTGAATGCTAGTGTATTCTAGAAGAGGAGTCATACCCTGTAGCCTGCATTCCCACACTGACAGACAGCACCATAACTTCAAAATACAGACAGTCTGGACGGTATTCAATGACTCTCAATGAGTTTAACTTCTGCTGATCCCCCAAAGGGAGCAAGCTGGGGAAAGGGTAGGAATTTCAACCCAGGACACCTAGAGACTAATACTAATACTACTAATACCACCATACTACTACTGCTGCTGCTGCTGCTGCTGGATACTACTAATACCACCATACTATTGCTGCTGCTGCTGCTACTAATAATAATAATAATAATCTGCAGTTAACTCCAATTTCCTTTACTCACTCATGCCTTTTCCACATACAAAAGGTCACATCCTTTATGGCACATTATGACCCGTTTGCACTTTATGCATAATCCTCAGTATAGATGACAACACATTACAATGCTGAGCATGCAATGATGGAGACTGGAAGTATTCTAATTTTTTTTTTAGCCCTCTCTGACTACAACTCCACCAGGGCAATTTCACACAGAACATGAAGAGGGCATTACTTCTGTTTCAGCAGCTCTGTGTGCACTGTCACAGTCTGATCCTACCCTTTTAGGCAGAAGCTTTGCTGGCTCTTACTAGAGTGCAATGTCCTTTGAACTCCATACTGTTTGCCTCTGTGTAAACCAGCTATCTTGGATCTGAGCACATCTGCATCCACAGGAATGACTCCTGAAGACCTGGAACAGACAGCAACCAACCTACTGACTGCTGGAACATCAGAATCAGATGGGGACAGGAAGGAAAGGCTTAAAGGCATTTAAACAGGTATCCTTGTGTAGTTATTGTGGGGGTGGAGGGGAGGGGAGGGGAGGTGAAAAGGGTCTTATCCTCTGGTCTCCATGAAGAAGAGAGAAGGGAAGCCAAAACACTCCTATGAGCCCTGTTAACTCCCCCACACTTTTAATCCACATTAAAGCTCTTAAAGAGCATTACTAAGACTGTGCCACCACACCTCGGCTCTTCTCAAATAAAGAGGATCCAGACCACAAAGGGCAGGAGAAAAGAGAAATAGGAAAGTTAGCCAAGCCAAAAAGAAGGGAGGGCGAAGGCGGAAGGGAAGCCAAAGCACTCCTATGAGCCCTCTTAACTCCCCCACACTTTTAATCCACATTAAAGCTCTTAAAGAGCATTACTAAGACTGTGCCACCACACCTCGGCTCTTCTCAAATAAAGAGGATCCAGACCACAAAGGGCAGGAGAAAAGAGAAATAGGAAAGTTAGCCAAGCCAAAAAGAAGGGAGGGCGAAGGCGACCATGGTCGGGGACAGAAAGATATTGGGATGGAGATCTGGGATGCTCATCTCACCTCTCTTGCTGCGTCTCCAGCGGCCACCTTGGGAGTGACTGTAATCCATACAGTTGAGGACGATCAAAGCAAAGGAGAACAGGCGAAACCGCATCCTTCAGCTACAGGCTTGGGGAAGATTCACTGGAGCAGCCAAAGGCAAAGGGAGGGTCAGTCGCCGATGGGAACGCCGGGGAGTGAGAGGCGCCCTTGGAGGAGCCCAGGTGACAGGCAGGCAGAGGGAAGGAGGGCAGG